ACCGTAACCACAAGAGCAATGATGCAGAGAGACATAAAATAAACAACAGGATGAATAGGCTCAGCCGGATATGGGAGAAAGGTTGGGGGCTGAGGGGAATGGGGTATGTGTAAAAGATAGAGCAAGGCGAAAGGGGGTCTACTGGTTATCGTTAGGAGAAAATAACAAATAGGAACAGAGCAAAAACAGGATGGGGAGAAAGACAAAGGAAAGAGAACCAGGATAAAACCAGTAAAAGGAAGGGATGGGGCAGGATAAAGGGAATACAGAAAAAGGGCAGAGAAGCACTGTCCCTCCTGGAACGGATCAATCGGGTCAAGGATAAGAGGAGTACTCGGAGCACAGATCACCATGCCTCTTAATACTTTGGAGTATTCGCGTTCCAAAAGGTGGTCATTTTGTGGGTGTTTATGTTGCTCTGGGGCCTCCAAAAATGTGATAGGTAATTAGGAAATTAGATGCATAATTTATGCCCCTAGAGAACCGGAAGGTGGTCCTTGGATTTTGGGCCCACTCTGCATCTAGGCTGTGAACAAAGTCTGACACATGTGGTATTCCCATACTTGTGAAGAGTAGGAGAATGTGTTTTTGGGTGTAATTGTCACAGCAATATGCCTATGCTGAGAGATGCTAAGAGAAATAACTTGTAAAAATGACAATTTTTTAAAAAAAAATTATTAACCGTCATAATTTTCCAAAGAATTGTGACAAAAAAAATGGCAACTTAAAAACAAAATCACCATGTCCCTTGCCAAATACCTTGGGCTGTCTAATTTCCTGTAAGGGGTTATTTGGGAAGTATTTTTACTGTCCTGGAATTTTAGGAGCTCAAGAATTGAAATAGGCAATCAAAACGTCAGGAGTGATCAATTTTCAAGCATATTGTATATATGCAGCATAGTTTTTAAACTCTAAGGGTTGATTTACTAAGACTGGAGAAGGCAAAATGTGCACAGAAACCAAGCAGCTTCCAGGGTTTTTTTTCAATCTTAATTGAACAAGCTGAAGTTAGAAGCTGATTGGCTACTATGCACTGCTGCACCATGTTTTACACTCTCCAGTTTTAGTAAATCAACTAACAGTCACACAGACTAAATAATATACACCTATTTGTTTGTTTTTTTACCAAGAAAATGTAGCTAATGGAGTTTATTTTGGCCTAAATTAATGAATAAAGATCATTTGTGTTTAAAATTTATAAGAGAAATTAAGAAACACTTTTTTTTATTGTTTATTGAATAAAGAGAGGATGTATACAAAATTTGCGGAACACAAACTTGCTAATTTCCATGCAAAACTGTGTTCGTCCCTTCTCTTGAAATGTTGTAATATTGTAATATAGTCTTAATTTGACCTATACTGTAACTTCATAAAAGATGGTTTATTCTTTTGGTGTCAGAGAAGAAGAAATGGGGGTCTAAGACCTCATAAGAGGACATTTTTTTAAAGCAAATGAATGCATTTAATGGTTATATAAAGAAGAGAAATAGGGCCAACTCACTAAGTCAGTGTGGTCCCTACAGCATATGTATTAGTAGAAAAGGAAGAATATGACTAGAATACCAGTCAAAGGGAAACTGCTTGCACAGGACACATGTGGTGTATCAAAAACAACTAAGCTAAATTAAAGTAGAACTATAGGCAAAACTTTTTTTTTTTATCATTTTGAATAGAACAAGGGCAAATTATAATGATTTTTTCACCATCTGTGTTCCATTGTGGACAGTTCCGTTCACTTCCTGTCTCATAGCCAAACAGGAAGTAAGAGGAATTCCCTGCAAATTTAGGGAATTCCTTGGGCATCCCCAGGTCTCCAGAACTAATGTCCCCATTGGAAGATTTCCCCTCTATAAATTTTCTGGGGACAAACAAAATGTTGGAATTACTCTTACTTTCACTTTCAATGATAATGGTAAACAGGACAAAAAGAAGGTGAATCTCCTTAACAGGGGCACAGACAGCAATAAAAATTGGCAGGGGTTCTAATCCCTCTGCACTCTATCCAAAACTGAGAAACGTTTTCCTTTAGTTATACTTTAAGTAAAAACAAAATATCTTTCTAAATGTCAAATATTGAAAGAAAATAGTATCACAAATCATGCACAACTATACATGTACCCTTCTTCCACTAATAAAAAATGCTATGTTGTCTTTTTTATCAGATGAAAAAGGGTATTTATATATGTGTGTGATTTTTTTATACTATTTTTCATTCAATATTTGACATTTAAAAATATATTTTGTATTTACTTAAAGTATAACTAAAGGCAAAACTTTTTTTGTAGTTTTGGAGTGCAGATGTATTAGAACACCTACCGGTATTAGGTTTTTACTGCTGCCTGTCCTCACTAGGGAGATTCACCCTTACGGTTTCCTGAGACTGGAAAGTTATCTCAAGGCTGCCTCTGCATTGAAAAGGTTGAGAAAGATTGCTTGAATGTGTAGGCAAAACCTTTTTTCTTTTTGATAGAGTAAGGGAAAGTTATACCCCTGTCAGTTTTTTTTTTTATTTTTTTGCCATCTGTGTCCCTACTGGAAGATGTCCCCTTATTACTTTTCTAATTCACCTCCACTCTATCCAAATCTAAAAAAAAGTTTTCTTTAGTAAAACAACCCCAATGATTTCTATATTTAGGTCTCCATGCATCACTGTTGAGAGAACTGATCCAAAAAGGCAGAAACTACTAAGAAATGCCTATTGTACTTTTACATTTCTTAAATACCACATGCCTGGACCACTACTTAATTGCCGCATGCATTTAATTATTTATTTCCTTCTGTGAATTGAGTTTAACACCTTTTCATTCGGTATTAACTAAAAATACTGCAAAATGGTATAGTAAATTGACCGTTTCAGGATCACATGCAATATTTAGGTAAAATCTGTCCAGACTCCTAAATACTGCACGTGATCAGCTTCTGTGAATGGAGCTCAGAGTGTCATCAAAGTACTATTATCTGACACAGTCAACTGAAGTTAAAGTGTGGCTAGAGGAACTATAGCTACGTCCAACAGTAAGCCAGTGGAAAAGAGCAATAACACAAGGGAGAGGAAAGCAAGGAAGGAAAAAAGCAGAAATCTAGGGTGAAGAAGGATAGTGTGAAGGGGTAAAGAAATAAAAACCTGTCATTGTTGAGTGCCATTCACTAAATCTTGTGGTGTTTGTAAATCGAGTCGTTGATAATGACAGTAAGATATTTTATCCTTTGGACATCTCTGGTCCTGAAATTGAGAGGGAAAGGGGGTTAACATCTTTTCCAAAATAAGCCTACTAAACAGTGCGGTGCCATCAAAACATGCATTAACAATTTGTGACCTTTTGGCTGCTCGGGACCATATTAGTTATCAAGTCTTCCAGTGGGAGCCAATGGCTCTTGATGCCCCAGCAAAGCCAATGAGACATGGAAGTGAGGGGAGAGAAGAGCTGCAGACGTGCACAGTGCTGGATCGAATGAAGGCTAGGTGGTGTAAAGTCTGTTGGGGAATATTAAGAGGAAGAGCCTCTGTTGTGGTAATATTGATTTTTTTTTTAAGCCGAGAGTGAGCCATTGAGATCTATTTCTTTGTGGAGATTTAAGAAGTTGACGTGGAGTTGAGTGAGCATAAGGAGGACGTCGTCAACTAATAATAAAATCTTAAATTCCCTATTTTGAACTGGTATATCATGAATATTAATATTCTGTGTAATGTGTGCTAATAGGGGCTCTATGCAGATGGCAAAGAGCAGGGGGGAGAGAGAGGGCAGCCATGCCTAGTGCCATTGGTGATACTAAAGCAAGGCGATGTGGCGTACGGGGGTTCTAATACTCGCAGTTGGGTCAGAGTAAAGATGAAAAATGGCTCTAAAGTAAGGACCTTTCAGCCCTATATGTCTAAAGGTTGCAAGTAGGAGCGCTTAAGCATATCGAAGGCCTTTTCGGTGTGTAGGCTGAGCAGAAGGGCTTCATATTTTTCCTTATTGGCAACGTCAATAAAATGAATGGCCGTCCAGGTGTTATCACCCACCTGATGTAAGGGGATGAACCTGACTTAATCCTTATGGACTAAGCAAGGGAGAATCTTGTTCAGTCAGAGAGCTAGCAGTTTATCAAAGATTTTCATGTTGGAATTCAGTAGGGCTATTGGCCTGTAACTGACACGCAGTGATTACAGAGATTACAGTAATGACTGCATATCCCTTGGAATTGTGGAGTTTCCTATAAAGCCATTACATAGTCCTATGATGTGTGGTGAGAGTAATGGTAAAAATGTTTTATAATAAACATAGTAGTAGTCTGGGCCTTGGGACTTGTATTGTAAAGGTACATTTTTTTTTTTTTTTTTTTTTAATATTAAACATGTTATACTTATCTGCTCTGTGTAATGGTTTTGCACAGAGCAGCTCCAACCATCCTCTTCTGGGGTTCCCTGCAGGCATTCTTGGCCACTCCTCCCCGCCAAGTGCCCCCATAGTAAGCTGCTTACTCTGTAGGTACTCATACATGGCAGCTCCCGAGCCAGCTCTGTGTGTCTGAAAGACAAACAAAGCGCACCTTGGCCCTGCCCCCTCCCACTGCTCTCTTCTCACGGCTGTGAGTGACAACAGTCCCTTGCTATATCTGAGCCAAAGAGGAGGGAAAGAGCCGAGAAAGCCTCTGCTCTCATGCACATCGCTGGATTGAGATCGGGCTCAAGTAAGTATAAGGAGGGCTGGGGGGGAAGCTGCATGCAGAAGGTTTCTTTTACCTCTTCAGGCAGCATCCATCTAGCCTAAGCATGCCTTGGTATGGCCAACCTGTACCAATTCCACGATTGTCATTTAATATGCCCTGAGAGCAAGCCTGGACAGACACAAGCTACAGAAAGCATATATATATATATATATATATTATATATATATATATATACACACACACACACACTATATTGCCAAAAGTATTGGGACACCCCTCCAAATCATTGGATTCAGGTGTTCCAATCACCTCCATGGCAGCAGGTGTATAAAATCAAGCACCTAGGCATGCAGACGGCTTCTACAAACAGGAGTTCAGTGAATTCAAGCATGGTACCGTAATAGGCTGGCACCTGTGCAATATGTCCATCTGTGAAATTTCCTTGCTACTAAATATTCCATGGTGAACTTTTAGTGGTATTATAACAAAGTGGAAGCAACTGGGAACAGCAACTCAGCTAAAAAGTGCTAGGCCACGTAAAATGACAGAGTGGGGTCAGCGCATGCTGAAGCGCACAGTGTGCAGAAGTCGCCAACTGTCTGCAGAGTCAATAGCTAAAGACCTCCAAACTTCAGGTGGCCTTCAGATTAGCCCAACAACAGAGCTTCATGGAATGGGTTTCCATGGCCGAGCAGCTGCATCCAAGCCTTACATCACCAAGTGCAATGCAAAGCATTGGATGCAGTGGTGTAAAGCATGCTGCCACTGGACTCTAGAGCAGTGGAGACGTATTCTGTGGAGTGACCAATCATGCTTCTCTGTCTGGCAATCCGATGGACGTGTCTGGGTTTGGCAGTTGCCAGGAGAACGGTACTTGCCTGACTGCATTGTGCCAAGTGTAAAGTTTGGTGGAGGGTTCAATTGAAGGGAACTCTTAAGGAGTCAGAATACCAAGACATTTTGGACAATTTAGAGCTCCCAACTTTGTTCGAACAGTTTGGAGATGGCGCCTTCCTGTTCCAACATAAGTGTGCACCAGTGCACAAAATGAGGTCCATAATTTGATGAATTAGCGAGTTTGGGGTGGATTTACTTGACTGGCCTGCACAGAGTCCTGACCTCAACCCAATAGAACACCTTTGGGATGAATTTGAGCAGAGACTGCGAGCCAGGCTTTCTTAACCGACATCAGTGCCTATCACAAATGGGATTCTGGAAGAATGGTCAAATATTCCCATAAACACACTACTAAACCTTTCCAGAAGCATTGAAGCTGTTATAGCTGCAAAGGGTGGGCTAACTCAATATCAAACCCTATGGACTAAGACTGGGATGTCATTAAATTCCCAATACTTTTGGCAATATAGTGTGTGTGTATATATATATATATTCCATTTCATAGCTGAGATTCAATTCCACCAGAAATACTGTCAGCATGGATCTTTTTTTTCCCTGTGTTTATACACATTTCCCCAAAAAACATACTGGTAGATTACATGGCTTCTGCCCAAATTTGCCCTTGTGTGTAGTAGGATGTTGGCTTGGCCTTCAGGGAAGGAACTGATGTTAATGGCTCTGTGTTCTCTGTAAAATGCTGCCAAATATGGCAATTCTGAATAAATGAGTACATAAAAAATGTCAATAAATTTACATCTGGACCAACAAAGAGGATCATTATCTTTATTTTTATGTTAGATGGATATATTCATGTATGAATATGAAGATCTCAAAAATAAAACGATAACTGCTAATGAGGCTGGCAATGAGCTGTGAGCTGGCATATTGCCCCACAGCACATGCCATGAATTGCTCAGCAGGAAGCAGTCCAGCACGGCGGTTAATGTTAATGAGGGAACTAGTGGGTCAGAGGATTATTCTAGCCTCACACTGTATTTTCACATCTCTTTCTAGTTTATCCTGACACAGATGGATAACTGGAAGTGATTATCATCTATGGCCCAATTCACAATGTTTACAGATAGCACATAGGCAGTAAGTGCTGTTTGATTTCTGCCAACAGCATGATTTTAGGTGCTGGAAATCAGAGCACAGCACACAAAAGAAACACAGCATAGCCATTGTTTTATAAGGGACAATTTTTAACAAACCTTTCATAAGCCTGGGTAATTTCAGCTAGGAGGATAATGAAACAATACGTAAACAAAGGTTATCTTTAGTGAAAATCACAGTAAAATTGTCACAGATATGTCCATATCTTGACATCATTCGTCAGTGCATACCAGAATTGTAATTTTGCTCTCATTATAGAGGGAGCACATTATAGGGAAAAATATACTTTTTTAATCTACAGTAACACATTTTATTTTAAACTAACACTAATCAAAGTAGAAAAAAAGTGCATTTTATTGTTTTGAAAGTATTTTATGTATAAATTGCATAGGAATAAAACAATTTCAGCAAGAAAATATAACCAAATTGAAAGCTTTGTTTGTGCCAAAAACGTATTTATATTAATGTAAAAATTGCCCAGGTCCATAAGGGGTATACAGAGGTGCAGTGGTTAAATGTTCTCCTCACCCTGCCCCTCCACCAGTCCCCAAGTGAGCCCTAGTCTAATACTTACCTTGGCCTACTTTCTGGCAATCTTCACTGTACTGCTCTGCCCAGAGCCACAAAAAACATCTTTAGAAAATATTCCTGCAGATCCTCTACTTCCTGTGCACTGTATATGTGCCCTGGCCTTCCTTCAGGAAGATTTGTTCTCTGAAGGATCATTGGAGGCTGCCATAAATACAGCTCCGCATAGTGATAAATGATGATGTCAGCACCTGTGGTAGTGAGCCCTTGTAGATAATCAACTTGGGGTTCCCCAGGGTGCGGAGTCTAAGCCCCAGCCTGCTTCTTCACCAGAGCCCCTGATGGTGGGGATGGACTTGCAGCAAGCTGGGACCAGGTCTCGGCCCCCGGGTACTCCCAGCTGAGGATGAGGAGACCGCTCGCAGGAGCAGAGTACAATGGGAGGAGACAAACAGAAATCCCATAGACTAGCCAAGGTCAGGACGGGCGGAAAACAGGCACAGTCAGAGAACAAAGCCAGGGTCAGTACACGAGTAGTCAATGCAGGATATAGGCAATAGCAACACACAGGAGCTCAGATAACTAGGACGTTGCTTAGGCAATGTGGCCTAGACTGAGCATGTCTTATATAGGCAGGCAAACAAGGAGGCGGGCCAGGAAGTGATGGAAGGGAAGGAAATAGAACCCAGAGAACAGCAGACGACGCCCATAGGTGAGCACAGACAAACACACATGTGAAAGGGATCAGGAACAGCACTGCAGCAAGGAGGTAAGAACACACAAACAAGAAACTGCAGGCTAACAAGTGACAGATGAAATCTACAATTCTTCTGTAAAGTACATATGTCAATATTATAAACATTATGATGGGACTGTTACATTGAAATGCCAGCATATAGCATACCCCTAATTGCTTATTTAAAATCCTTGGGTGCTCCAGCATAAAGCTACTTATACCTCCTAGGCCCCTTTCACACTGATGCATTGCAGTTTGACCACACTGCTGGTTTAGCGCAGTGTACCCGTTGGTTTGGTGCGGGTTAGCTGCACTTTCTCATAGAGTTATATTATGTCCTGCCGTTTTGGTGCACTTTCTGAACGTGCACCAAAAATAGAACTCTATGGGAAAGCACAGCTAATCCACACCAAAGCCGTGGGTGCACTGTGCAACATCATCAATGTGAAAGGGGCCAAAGTAGTATTGAGGGCTGGATCATCTTTACTTCCTCACACACGTTTCTATTGTTCAGTGTGACAACCCATCTAAGCAGGTAGGTGTGGCAGACAGGGGAAATCAAACTAGCTTCCAAAACTGCTAGCGCTGATACCCATGGTGCCTAAGACAAGATGTAAATGGTGCGTACATTTTTTAAATGTTTACATCACTTACTGGTGTACTTCAAATGTGCTCAAGGTGACAACAGAGGAACATGTCTGCATTAATCATTAACTCAGCATTTATGGCAGGCACAGAGTGTTATTAGCTATGAAGGCGCTTGCCCCACAGGAGCCACAGGTAAAGATGGGCTCTGTGTTCTGCCACTCTTCTTAAAGCTGCTCTGGCACAGGTAGAAGGCCAATTCCACCTGTGTAACATAAGTGTTTGTATGCTACATTCTATGACACTACATAGGAAATAGGCCAAGCCAATGGTGATAGATTCAATTAATATTGTTAAGCAATGCAATTAAACAATGTGTAAATCATACAACAGGCAGAAAAACAGATTTAAGTATTCTGTACTTGGTAGAAGATCACTGATCCATAAACTAGCAATCAACAGAACTGCGCGGTCATGCAACACTGTACACACATTAAATTTTTATCATTTTTTTTCACACAAATAGCACCTTGTTTTGGTGGTATTAACTCACTACTGGGTGTTTTATTTTTTGCAGAATAAACAAAAAAAAGAGCAAAAAGTTTCTATTATAAAATTTTGCAGACAGGTAATTTTTTTCCTTCACTGATGTGCGTTGATGAGGCTGCACTGATAGGCAGCACTGATGGGCACTGATAGGCAGCACAGATAGGCAGCACTGATGGGCACTGATGAGGTGGCACTGATATGCAACAATGATGGGCACTGATAGGTGGCACTGATGGGCACCAATAGGCAGCACTGATGGTTGGCACTGACTGGCAGCACTGCTGGGCAGCACTAATGGGTGGCACTGATGGGAAGCACTGCTGGGCACTGGTGGGTGGCACTACTAGGCACAGCTGGGTGGCACTGATGGGCACAGGTGGGTAGCACTGATGGGTACTTGTGGGTGGCACTGCTGGGTACAGGTGGGTGGCACTGGTGGGTGGTACTGCTGGGCACTGATCTTCAGTGCCCTGATTGGTGGCGATCCATCCTCTGACAATTGCCGGTTATTGGCAGTACTTTCCTCACGCTGTGACAGCGTGAGGAAAGTGCGGCCCATAACTGGCAACTGCATTTACCGGTGATCTGCTGTGTCATTGGACACAGCTGATCACGTGGTAAAAGGCCACTGTGATTGGCCTTTTACCACATCACATGATGAGCTGTGTCCATAGGGCAATGCGATCACTGAGATTGCTGGGGGCACGTTCTGGGAGGACGTCATATGACGCCCTCCCAGATCTGGACAATTGTGCTGTAGCTATCATTCAGCTATTTTCTGGTTGTCAAGTGGTTACCTAGTGCAACTACAGTTTAAATAATGGCATAAACTAACCCATTGTCATGCACCTGGCTGAGCTGACATCTCCTGTCCTGTTTCTCCTGAAGGTGGTAACAGGATATGAGGGCACAGAGTGGCACGGGTGCCTTGTAGGAGATCCTGGCCAGAAGAAACTTTCAGCATGTGTGGATCGATGAGTTGATTGATGAAAGGACACAGCAGCAGGTGTGAAACCACGGGCAGAAAGCAGGCAGATGCAGGATCTTGGGTAGAACCATGGGCAGCAAGCAGGCTGGCAAGCAGGCAAATGCAGGATCTGGGGTAGAACCGTGGGCACCAAGCAGGCAGATGCAGGATCTCGGGTAGTCAGGCAGGCAGGAGTTGGTATCAGCCAAACAGCGGAGGTGCAGAATCAGGAACCAAAACAGAGTCAGAGCCAGTCCGGGGTCAGTATCAGTGGAGCAGAGAAGGTACCAGAACAGCAGGCAGAAGGCAGGGTCAGGTCACATGTCAGAGTCAGCAACAAGGTATCAGGAGCAAGCAGGGTCAAGACTAGCTAGATAGCACAGGCTCAGGTCACAAACAG